TAAATTTTTTTGTGAACTATGTTGATAAATGGCTTAAAATATCCTCGAAAATATCCAATATTTTATACAGTGTAATATATTAATAAAAAATTCCAGAGTGCATTCCATGTAAACTCTACGCCGAAGATACGGCAATATTTAACTATAGATAGTATAGTAAATATTTGCCGAACTGGCGAACTCATATATTGTAAAATATGTGGGACATATATTTGCACAAATTTGGTATTTAAATATATAATATGTGGTATTTGACTACTTACCAGATGAGGATGAGATTCCATGTTGATAAATATAAACTTCGGAATAAAAAAAGACAGCCAATTCAAGATAAATTGATAAAAATATCAAGATATTTTTGAAACAATAACACGATTTATACACGAGGCCTGACGAGGCTAAAGTATGCCCGTTCGCAGGTTAGATGCGGGCACGATGTAAACAATTGATGTAAACGAATCGCTGATTGGCTTAAATTGGCATAAATTGCCTGAATTATATAAGCCCGTCGCTGAATGGCTAGGGATACGGTACGGTACGGTACGGTCACGGCACGTTTGCGATAGCATATATATCTGCTTCGCAGATACAAAAATCGAGCAATTACAACTGAGGCGCATCCATTGAGGCCAGCTCTGGACTCTTAACTCAACTATTATGCCTTAATTCGTATAATTATATGTTGGCTTCAATCTTGTCAAATCATTTAATCGCCCTAACTCAGCACAAGTCGTCTACATGTTCCTTAAATAGCCAAAACGGTCGCCTCAAATCACCTAACCTCGCCTTAAATCTCTCTAACTCGGAACATCACGCGGCGAGTTAACGCGAGTTACCATCCCAGAGACGTGCTTCAGCTTCCGTATTAATACTGTAGTTGTAAACAAAACAGTGTTTACAAGCTTTTCGTAATTTTATTCATTAGAAATAGCTTTAAAAAATACTAAACTTTGTTCCTTTCTTTGTACGTGTTTTGCGAAACCCTCAGGCGAATATCATCAGAATATGCAAGTATATGGAGCTAAGCTGCAACCAATCAAATTGCGCGAAAGCACTTGCACATCCCGAATACATATGCAAATCAGCTAATAGCAGATTTGGGGGGAATTCCCTCAGAAGTCGAGCATATTCTGAAATTCTGCGTTTTAACTGTTGCTGTTAGAACATTTTTCTTTTGTTAGCTAGCAATGGCAATATTCTGGAATGTTAAAGATGAAACAAATCATCATCTAACACAGTAGACATGGCCACAGAATCTCAGGTAGGTATATAAATGATGCCACCGCTAATGCAGTTGCGGACATATTGGGTGTAAACAATGACGTTGATGCGAAATTCGCGTGAAAGCAAGACGATTTTTTTGCAAAGTTGAATACTATACATCGATACCCGGACGTTTATGAAAAGTGAAAAGTATAAGGAATTAATATTACTCTGTTTAGCAGACTTGATTTCTTCATGAAAAACCAATTCATCCAAGCTTATATACAATACTATACTGCATGATATTATTGGCTCAACCTGTTCATATTATTAATATTAATATTTCGGCCATTTGGGAAAAAACCTTTACGAAGGAAAAATCTAGAATATTCCGACTTTAGAACTATAAAGCTCTTGCTTGCTATTAATAGGACTGAAATGTGTGTATGTCACAGACAGCTGTATCAGACAAGCATACGCGTTGACTCTGCGTATTTCCGCACGCAATACAAATACAAAACTTGGGTCTTTGCAAGCTATATTTTCCGCATTTTACAACATTTTACAACCAAACTTCAGTCGCAATTTTACTAATTTTAGTATGTTCTTTCTAGCTGTGTCGATTTATTTGAATCTCTTTGCTTGCCTAGTTTTAAAATTAGTCTATAATGGGAATTGTCTATTGCTTTGTGAAAAGCCTTTTGATATTAAACGAGTGCATATTGAAAGCTGAAATCAGTTATTTGTCTCATAACTGTTATCAAACGCTTGGATTATCGAATCGGTCGATGAAGTCGAAGTATTTTTTGGCGAATTAATATATGTAATAATAGATCAATATATAAAGTTACATCGACATTGTCATTGTAATATTACGTAACTCACCCTCACCATGCAGATATTGCCAGTGGCATTACTGGCAAATTTATGCATTTTTAATTTAACCACCATTAGTCATAGGAACGAGCACGTTTTCTAACGAGTACAATTTACCTGAAATATACTCGTATTTTTCTGTTTTTCTCTATTTGAGTCTTTTGAACCAAGTGGAAACTTGGCCGTCCCCAAAATTAGCATGTACAGGTATACTTCCAGGCCAAAGCGTGAATGGTGGCACTTGGGCAGTGCAAGAGATCATGTTTGAAATTTTCTCGGCTTAGACTTAGGCCAGTGTCAAACCGGTCGAACTTTTCATGCGCCGAACCTAATGTTAACGAGCTAAGTTCTTTGTTTCACTTCATTTGCACTTGATTAGGTTCGGCGCATGAAAAGTTCGACGCGTGACCGTGGCCTTACAGTCTTAGACTAAGTGAATGCATTTGGATGATTCATATAGGTGAATGGAGAGCACTGACACGCACACTGATCGGGAAAAATCAGAGCTCGAACGAACAAACAGGTGCGAAACAATCAGTGATCAAACAAGCTTAGAACAAGGCGATTATAGCGGTATAACAGTTGAAATATCTGACCATTCTTCACGAAAAAGACGAACGGTCCATCAATTGAGTGACGAGGATATTAGTACTCATGAGAAGAAGAGAAACTACGAACTTGAAGCATCTGTTCAATCACTTGTCTTACAACAGAAAGAAACCACTTTTGACACTGAAAAGCAACAAGACGATTTAAAACAAACCTCTCCTCATAGACATATCCATAGGCATAGGCCTAGACCAAGCAATACAAGTCCAAAGAAAGGGTTACTCCAGCGTCAACAAGGGCAAGAGGCAGAGATAAAGCAGGCTACGTGTCAAACAAAAGATAAAGCAGATATCAAAAGCAGTTCCAGCAGTGAGATAGCAACCACTGCCACTGGTAAACAGTCAAATCCAGTACTAGAAAACCTTGTTCAAACTTTATTAAAATATCCCAGTTTGTTTCAAAAAGACGAAGACGGGGATACGTGAGTATACATCTCTTCACTTTAATATTTTATATTTAAAAATATACTATTTTATACTAATTTATACTAGTCTAATATTCGTTCATCTCATGCAGAAGGAGTTGTGTATTAAAGGAATGCAGATATCAGTACAATATGTATTATGACACAATTCGCTTTTCAGTCATTATTTAATCAGTATGAGACTCCACTGTCACTGACAACCTCAACAAACAAAAATACTTATTATTAACAATATATAATTTTTTAAAACCACAAACCGCTGAAATATATATATATAATGTAGAGTCCATTGAAATACTTTAACAATTTAAATTGTATTTAAATACGATCAATTACCATTTACATTCTTTAATTTCCGGTTACTGGCATATGCATAAAAAACATTCTGAGTCACACATAGCCTCCTCCGCAAGCATCTGAAGCCGAGAAACCCATGTGATCACGGGATGCCTGCGGAGGGCTACACGGAAATATGATTTCGGCCGTCTTTACGGCCACTGTACAACAGTTAATATGTCCAAATAAGAAAGAATGATAAGAATGTTGCAATATACTTCATCTCGGTTTCAAAAAACAGTGGCATGCTGTGTATGCTTGGCATGGCGGCAAACCTACATTAGAATATTTTATATTTATCATATTTATGTAGTATTTACATGTATTTTTACATTGAAACCATTTAGGATTCTACACTTGGCTATAGTTCACAAAAATATCAATTTAACATTTGCAACAATATTGGCTATGGTTAGAAGAAAACAGGAGAATAACAAGGTCAAGGGGATCGACATTCAAAACGAATTACTTCAGGTAAAATGACCCTTCTCATATGCGTCTCTCTATTTCTCTTTGTCTAAGGTTCTTATACAGGAAATGAATCTTGTGAAAGGTTTATGTTTTATTTCTGGAAACTGTCATTGGTATACACTACTTTTTATGAAAGAGAGGAACGAGGAATTGAGAGGAACGATCCTATACCGATCTTGGGCTAAGAAACAGACCACAAGCTCCCTGGTATGATAAGCAGGACATCAGTTACCACAAAGAAGAAAAAAAGGCAACGATTAAAGGCAGAAAGACCTGACAGATGACTAAATTGACATCAAACTTTTATACGTATAAAGAAGGGCATGCAATACGTTGCAACTTTAACGAAATTTATACTTATGAAAAAATGACTCTAAAAGTGTATCAACAACGTGTTTTCTTATAAGTTGTAAACTTTCATAACACGTTCAATTCGCAATTAGCCTGCGGGTCGGTTTATTCACAGAAAGCCGTACTAAATCCAGGACATTCCCTCTTCAATGACAGAGCTCAACAAAGTCATTTAAAATGTCTCCTTTCTGTTCAAATTAATCGACTTGCAAAAGATGCAAAAGAAGTACAGCTTAGCTATTCACGGCCTCTGGAAAACTTTTCCCAATGGATGATTCCAGCTATAGACAAACTTTTGACCTAGACTTATACTGTCAGGCCATCATAATATCCACCGTGAAGGCGTAATGTTGAGCACTTTAAGGTAGCAGTTGCAAGCTGTAACCCAGAAACAGCAGCCATTAATTTTAAACGAGGACCTGCTCACAGCTTGTAAAGGTGCAACACTTGAATTAATTAAGCGACTAAACAGCAGGTGATAGTCCCATCCTTGTATAAATATTGATAACTGTGCCATATGTCTAAGATGTATCTACAAAGATGTGAAGGTCTGAGATACCGAAGACCTGGAAGTTCCAAAAGTTCTTTGATCAAACCATTGATAATTCCAGATGCTTCTATTGAATACCTCTTTCACATTCTAGTTACAACTCTTCTTCTTTTCTCACAATTTGTTCTAGTTGATTAGTCTCTTGTTCAACTCATGCCGGCTACTTGAACCACGTCTAAACAGTATCCTTACAGTGCTTACACAATTCGTTCGGTTTGTAGTCGATCGGTTAATATTCTTCTAACTATCCATATTTTTTACCCAGAGTGCTGCTACTACATGCAATCCTTTCTTTCGGTAACGTATAGTGGGCCTGCATAATCCATTCCCATAACCCGATGCGTGGTTGTTGGTAAGTTCACTGGAGGAGGCGTAGCGTAAGCGAAGAAATTAAGAAAAAGTTGTACGTCGATGATTTTGGTAACTGGAAGAACTTCGGTACAAGAAGTGCACGAAAAGAAGTCGAATTATTTTAAGAAGTTTCTTTCCATTTACACAAGTGAAAATCAAACGTCAAAGAGTTGGAACAAAATTAACAATCATAATAATAGTTAGTGATAATAGTTAGTGATGACACCAGTTTTGCGAAACAACAATTGAACGATAAATATAGAAAACAGGCAAGCTACTTGGTCTGAAATGGGATAAAAAGCAGTTCAAAAAGGAGACTTCTGTACAGAGAAGCTTGCGAGCAATAGTGCAATTAAGTGCGACTCAAAACTGCCTGACGAATTGGCTACACGTTGGGTGCCGATGCTTGCAAAACACTTCCCTCTTCTTGCAAACTTGCAAAACACTTCCCCCTTCAAATTAAGCCAAGAAGATCTATATACCACTTGCTCAAAAACCGGCTATTCAGAGCGAAACACTTCACTGAAGCTTCGGCTTCGGCAATGCAACTGGTGATGAGGTATAGGTAGAGTGTGTACGTTGTGGTCACTCAAGAAACCTAAGTGAATCAAGATTTGTTTGTGCGAAAGCAAGACTTGCCGAGCTGCTTGGGTATACCTAGAGGAGAATTGCATTGAATTTTCGAATGAAGGGTTTCTTGAAAAAATTTTGAACTAAAGCTAATCGCAATAAAAAGAATTTAGTACAAGCGCTCGTTTTTAGATGCTTCGAAATATTAATCTTCGAAGTCCCTTGGGGACTTAATTAAGTACGTTGTTGTTTAAAACTTTACAATCACCGTTCATAATGCCAAAGCTAACAATTCCGGAAAGAACATTCATTGTTGAAAAGTATTTTGAAACAAAAAGCGTTGTTGCAGTGTTACGACAATTTCAAATAGCTTTTCCAGGACATAATCTTCATCGAGCGTTTGGCGTAATGTCAACAAATACCGACTGCATGCATTGAATGGAAGAACCACCCCATAAAGTTTAAATCGAAATACAGGGAACTCGGGAAGAAGAAGAGTTGTCTTGGATATGAGACAAAGAACGAACTTGTGTGAAATGGAGGCCACGTTGAGTAAATGTGTACTTCCAACTTATTTTTTGGAACGTTTAAATAAATTGTGAATTCAGCACATCTACGTTTTTTTAATTTTCCAATTGCACTTACTTAAATTGACACAGCTCTCCAGCAATAACTCCAAACTTTATAAAATAAAGTATATAGAATAGCTGAAAGATCGCGATTTCGAAAGAATGCAAGTATAATGTAGAATGTAAGTAACTTTCATATTCGCTTTGAAATTTACACTTTATGTGAGGACTCCGTTTTTTATGATACACCCTGTAGAACTCCACATTTATATCTTTGCATGTTCACGTTTAGTAAACAATAGCCGTTTTATTGTCATTTTCGCCAAATCAACCAATAGACATAGTACATTTATTCCCCTATAAACTGTTTCGTCTCCCATCGCGTTTCGTCCCCTGTGGCCCTAATAAAACGTATAACATGGTTAGAATTCTCTGTTATCGGTAATAATAAAATTTTAAAAATATTTCGTATTACTACAATCCATAAAAAATACAGGTTTTCACATTCACTCCACATTCCGCAAATGCAACGAAATGCAAAAGTGTCTGACCGCGTTTACATATATATTAATGTGATTAATATATTTGAAAGAGTCCAGATGGACGAATTCATGTGGCAAGAGGGGACGAAACGTCCATAAATCAAACGAAATCACTGCTATTGGTTAGTATAGTGATAGGCGAGAAAAACAACACACACGTGACGATCAACCTTTTCAAAAACATATAGATGATGAGTTCTAAAAATTTTATCCAGTTTCAAAACCGTTAATTATTGTAATATTGCCAGTGGGATAGCAGGAATGAGTAACAAGCCAAATATTATCAATTTCTCTTTCAGACTCCGCTACATTTGGCTGTACTGACATGTCAACCTAGTATAGTAGAATATTTAATGCTACACGAAGCAGACGTAAACGCCATTGACCGCAATGGTCAAACTGCTTTACATTTAGCATGTAAGAATGCCGACGTTGAAGATATACACGCACTGAGAAAGATTACTCCTAAAGACAGTGAAAAATCAATTAATGTTGATTTGAAAAATTTTGAAGGTAATAAAGTAAAAAACTATGGATACATATATATATATGTAACTTGTTGACGTTACTTTTATATCTTTGATAAATTGTCCATATCCATGAGGTTTTCCGCTCGACCTTGAGTACTGAATATAATTTGCCAAACAGCATAGAATTCAATATATTCCTCAATTTTCCAAGATTCTTCCTGACCTATATATATCCAGGGATGGATATATATAGATCAGAAAGAATCTTGGAAATTTATCGCACCACGGGACCATTTAGTTCTAGAAAAGTCCCCAGAATATTTTTGGATAGAGAGAGAGAGAAAGAATGAAAGAAAGAAAAGAATGAAAAATAAAGAAACAAAGAAACAGAAAAAATAAGAGAAGGGAGTGAGAAATGGATGAACTAAATTGCAGTGCAGATGTGAGGTCAACAAGGGCTTGAAGGACAAAGCAACCTCGTCCCCAGGGCCTAGGTTGAGGACAAAGGTGTTTATTTAGTACAAATTTAATTACACAATTTTTTGTTCTGCCATTGACAGTTGTCACAGAAAGAAATTAGTCTTAAACAAATTGATTAGTTTAGAGAGATATCGTATTTTCACAAAATATAATTTGAAAATGGATCTATACATACTTCTACATTATTAACTGTGATATGAATCTTTTACAAATATTTGAGAAAACTGTTACCAGGTTTAGCGCCAATTCATCTTGCAACTTTGTCTGGAAGTTGTGAAGTGATTGAACAGTTGTTGGAAATGGGTGCTGATGTCGACCTGAAGGTGAGAGAAAATTATCATGAAAAGTTTTATAATATTTATTTAACAAATAGATAACATTTTGCCCGTTATCTGTTCAGATACACAGTATGACGTCATAATGTGCATGGTAAGTGGGTCACTGATATTGTTACCACCTCCTCTGCGTATCTATAACAGACAACAGCAAAATGTATCCATTTGCTTTATATAATAAAATTGAAAAATCAACACATCTTAGCTCGTATCGAAACAACGGAATGATTTATATCCATTTGACGTGATCTATGATCTATACATGATAACGCAGGTCGTTGGTACCTGATGCTTTAAAAAAACATGCTGATTGGCTTAAAGATATTACGTAATGGCATCATCTGTGCGTCTGTCCTCTATAATGATCATGGCTCTCGTCCAATGAAAAGCAGAACTGAGTTTATTATATAAAATGTTGTCATTGACGTAGACATGTTTGAGTCATAATGTGCAAAACCACTTTTCTTTGTTCCTATCTTCGATGTCGTATTACTTAAAGAATTTGAAGAAGTTCAAGATTCAAGAATATGAAGGTCAGTTTTTTCAAGACGCACCCGATCTGTGACGATCGAAAGCAGCCGGAAACAAAAACAGCCCGAAAAGTTATGTTTCGTCACGTGCTCACAAAAGTTTCGGATTGCCCTGGTCGGTAACATGCAAACGAACTAAACACTGATGAAGTTAGGGAAGAAGCTTCTTCCACCTGATTAATACGCTGGAATAAAAATGAATTTCAAACACTCCTTTCATTTGTTGTTGTAGTCACACTGGCCATTTCTACATACCATTTCTTGTGGCAGGCAATACAAACTCCTGATGGATTATCTGGTGCTGTTCTGACACTCGAACAGTTATTCAAAAATAAAGAGCTTATGAAGTGATGCACTGAAAATATGTTGTTGTGTATACAGGCTATAGACAATTGCTCTGCGTAGACTGTGGAGAATTATACTTTGCTTGCCCAATGAATGGAAGCTACAGTATATAGTCAATATTTGTAAATGATAAGCTCTAGCCAATCTTCGTCTCAATGCCACCGGTTCGTGCAATTCATTTACAAATCCCTTGCCTATGTCGTTTCAATGGTTGAGACATTTTATTTGGTCAACATTTAAACATAGTTTGGTCAACTATACTAAAAATTTCTCACATTAAGCGTTAACTATAGCTTTCTTTAATACACGTTTCCGGAAAGCAAGTCATCTTGGCTGTAGAGCCTCGTTTTCGTAATTGAGACGTGGGCTTTACCTGATACACGAAAATGAGGCTTTGTAGCCAAAGTGACGTACTTCCCGCAAGGGTGTATTGGCATAAATATTCCGATAGTTTATTCACATTCGGCTTCAAAAATAATTAACACTTTTGGCGGAGAAAGTCGCGTTAACCCTTTAAGTGGCAATGCGCCCAAATGCGCCCTACTTTATTATTTTACTCTGTTTAACACCAGGTTATTTTACTGTCTAACGCCAGACGATTTTACTCGTCAGGGGGAGAGTGCTGCCACTCAGTGGGTTAATGATTATTATATAATGAACGGGATCTACATGTAAGAATAACCGTACATTTTGACAATGAATTGGAATCACACATGTTTGAATATCCTTCTACTTTAATTTCTGCTCTTGTAGGACAGTAAAAGCGGACGAACAGCTCTACATCATGCGGTTGAAGCTCACAATCCTATTGTAACCAGATTCCTGCTCTTAAAAGATGCCAATGTAAATGCACAAACTTTTGCTGGGAATACACCGTTGCACACAGCCAGCGGTCGCCGTATGGAGAATATTATTCATATCTTGTTAGAATTTGGAGGTGATCGGAAACTGACAAATTTTGAGGGTGATCTTCCTATTCCAGAAACTTATTTGGTACGTTTAGTTTAATAGACAATTCCCATTATAGACTAATTTTAAAACTAGGCAAGGAGATGCAATCAGCTAACACCTGTTAATTTATATCCCGATGCAGGGGTGAGTGAGGGGGGTTGTTAAAAAATAAAAGAAATATTGTGGCACTTGTTTGCAAATAAAGCATCCCTGCCAAACGGGAAATGTTTGTCAAATATTGGAGTTTTAGATTGTGTAAAATTCAATGCAAACAAACGTTCTAGCTCTTATAATGTGTATGTTAGAAAATTTATTTTCGTCATACATTAGAATCGCAACATGTATATATGTCTGGGGGGGGGGACTATTCGGGATACCCTGTACACTACAAAGTCTATGCTATGCTATGCTATGCTATGCTATGCTATGCTATGCTATGCTATGCTATGCTATGCTACATTGGGCTGTGGCGTGAATGTTGTGTCATGTTTCATTTACTATTTAGATCTATTTTATTTCTTAGCCTTATTCAATGATAAGAAAAATTGCACAAAAATCAAAGGAAAAGAAGTAACAACATTTATTGTAATATAAGTATGATATGTAAATTTGTACCAAACTTAATATAGATTTAATATACTTCTAAACTTTTAGTATATGTATATATCTTCTACTTCATGCACATTTTTAAAAGGGCGACAGACGACGGGCTCCTCAAAGAGGGTACACAATAGGGATGGCAGGCTCATTAATTTTGCCCAATTCAGCTAGTATCGGGAAGGTAACTGTGAATTTCCAGCCAATTAAATTGCAACGAAATTTCTCACATGCCAATATATGTAGAAGCGCCGAGCCATGTTATGTAGAAACATATTCACATACTGTACTGTACTGTACTGTACTGTACTGTACTGTACTGTACTGTACTGTACTGTACTGTACTGTACTGTACTGTACTGTACTGTACTGTACTGTACTGTACTGTACTGTACTACACTGTACTGCATTGTATTGTGCTGTGCTGTACTGTAATGTGGCATGACTTATAATATATAGCATGGCCCACCCGTTTCATGCCACCGATATTTTTCATTCTTATTCATGTCTTTGTTGCCTGTTGTATGGGTACCTTCCAGGGCAGTGCAACAGAAATCTTTAACAATCTCTAACCTTCAGAAATTAGGAACTGTCGTGCTTTAAATGATTTTAAATGAACTGCTAGAGCACATTATATTTCTATTGCGAATGAAAGACTATATACTACTTGATAATTTAAAAAAACTAACTGTGAAACAAAATAATTGTGTTCGTAGTATCTTCTTTGTAAACAATAGACAATCTGCATCATCTTATTAGTTATTATTATCAATTATTTGAAATATTAAAATTTGAAAATATTGTCAAATTAAAAACTGCTATATTAACACATAAATTGTTTGTCAACCCTTCAAGCGTTCACTCACTATTTGATAACTTTTTAATGCCTGTGAAAAATATTCATAGTTACAATACAAGGCAATGCAAGGCCTTTCGAGTACGCTGCTTCAGTGTTATGGGA